CTTCTTCATGCCCGCCATCCCTGAGGAATGCTGTCAGCTCACATTACACCCCAGAAGAGCGTTCGGCGTTCCACTCTCCATCCACCACCACTACCGCCACTAGTGCTGCTGCTCCTCTGTCAGCCGGTTCCACTGATCTGATCTCCAGTCTGTGGGCGTCATATGGGAATGTCTTTCCTCTGCGTGTCTGTTTCCACAGAGCTAAGTATACATGACACTCACAGTAAGGATGCTTCATGGAGCAGTGAGCACACACACACAAAAAAAATTACAGGAGAGGGTTAAGAGCGCCTTCTGATGGAAATGCGATTCTTCAGGCATTTTACAGACACCCTAACCGCCCCAGGGTGTATTTATACATGCATACAAAGACACATGCGCACCCACACACACACACAACTAATTCAATGTTGTGACTCAAGGGTAAAACCATGCCACCACACCATTATCTATGCCTGAATTATTCTCTTGATGCTACTCTATACCATTATATGGATGCTATTACAAAGCATTAAAGGACTTATTATGGCTATTATAGATATGATTATAGGGAACCAGCTTATATGATCTGCACAAAGCAGTAATCACAGGTGAGAGGAGACAACTGTCTCATTTAATGGCTTGTATGTGTAATGTGCATTTAGTCTCCTATAGCCAGTTTACATAGTATACATACAGGAAAATGCAGGGAAACTGAAAAGAGCTTAGTAATTTAAAAAAAAAAGTATTTAGTCACCAAGTATTTGTACAACTGTAAAAGAAAAAGTGTAATACAATGCGAAAACATTAGGGTATGAATGTGTGTTTAAAAAAAGCCTTCAGTTGTTCTAATAAAATGGGGAATTGAGTTTTACTGTGAGAAAAATGAGGCATTACTTCCAAACAAGGTCAGAGCGTAGAGCAGCACGATAATTAACAGGTCAGTAATAGGCCTCGTCAACAGGGTAGCCCTCCATGTGTGTATGACCAGCAGAGAAGATGAAGGCAAGTGTCAGCTTGACGAACACATATCCCTTTCTCTAGAGAGGGGGGGAAAGGGAAGGAGAGATGGAGTAATGAGAGACCAGAGAGAAGATGGTGGGGGGTTGCAGGGGGGCCACTGGAGCGAATCCAGCAGGGAGAAGGTGAGCAGCCCGCCTGCCCTCCCCCTGCAGATTGAAGTCTTGCGAAGAAAATAAAGTTTATTGCCTGGAAAGAGGGGGAAAAGCATGTAAAAAGCATTAAAGCGATGGAGGTGAACAATTAGACAGATGGCCAGGTTTTGGAAGGAGAAGAGGGGAAAAAAGAGTAGGAATAGAGAGGGGGAACGCACGGATGCAATCGTTCAGGGTTTTTATGAGGACCCTGACAACTCCTGGTCTCTTCAAGGGCGAAGGAAAAGTGAGAGGCAGCAAAGCCTCTCTGGTTAACTCCGGAGTAATCGCTGAGTGTGCAACACCACAGAGCTCGGCTCGGGGTGACAGAGCTTACCGCCCCCAGCTCCACACAAGATATTGTATCGCTCCATCTAAATGCAAAAGGCTAATTATGAATGAGACAGATGTGTAAATAAACTTTGTGGTTTGAAAACTAGAAACTGTGAGGACTGCGTGTCCCTCTTAAAGCCTGAACCGCATGTAAGAGACAAAAAGCAGCAAGGTCACTGTGATAGCACGGCCCTCCACTCCTGCCACCAGCTCTCTCCTACAGCCATCAACCCAAGAGAAAAGCTGCCTGTAACCTGACAATGACCTTCATGACTTTCACCAGGAAGTAACCAAGGACAGAGGGGAAACATGTGCCTGTGTGGGTTGAGGAAGCTGGCCTCTGCAGAGGTTCCCCTCCTCTCTCCTGGTGTTTTCCACTTGTGCTGGGGAATGACATGTGGTCACTACTGTGGAGAAAGATGGAGACAGAGTGGAGAATGGAGGGGGGAGAAATCTAATATAATTATAACAGGGGCCATCAAATCCAATAAAATGAAAAGATATTAGATCAGGGGAGTCCCATCCTGTTCAATAAGTTCAATAAGACAGCGGACCACTCTACTAACTCACTCTGCTAAACACACACGTATACACACACAGGTACGCACACCTTGCTGACCCCTTTCATAGCACAGCAGCCACTCCTATGGATGCAAGCAAGTGGAACCGTGCCTTTAAACCCTGTTTCCATCTTCCATCACCTCACGCCGCCCCCTGACCACCTCGGTTCCCTGTATAGTTCGCCAATGTGGGGACGCCACTTAAGGAATCAAACGTACCTCCATGTATACCGAACACTTACCCTATAGACCTTGGATAACATAGAGAAGATGGTAAAGGAGTCAAGAGGGAAAGTGACAACATGCGCATAGTTTGGTGCGGCCTCTTTAACTCCCTGTGAATATGAGATATTTGATATCAATATAAAGCAACAGCAATATTCTGTGGCCGTATTTTTACTAGCAGGTGTGGAGGTTAGGTGTTGTAATGGTGGTGAAAGTGAATGAGCAGGGGAGACACCATGTGAAAAGGGCACCTTATAAAAGCAATTAGAGAAATGACTTTGAGCCCCTCTTTTTGCTCTGTAGATTAGAACAGGCCTCGGAGGGAGGAACACAGAGGAACTCGGATCCCAATGACATTGTCCGCAACACGCCACACTAAATTGGTCATCAGCTTTTAAGAGTCTATTTTATCATAGATATATATTTTTAGCTATAAGAAAAAGAGAAAAGGAAGGAGGGGGGAACCGTGGAATGTGCTGGTCATATATCATCCTGTCACAATTATGACGTTTGTTCTCTCCTCTCCACCTGGCTAAGTCACATGCGCTTATGCACGCGCCGTACATCAACAAAGAGTTATGGACACACACCTTGTGCAGTGAATGCACACGCACGCCACAAATAAAGAGACAAACACATGTGGCTGGGAGCCCTACCACAGGTCTGAGAACTGACCTCCACGCAGACACAGAGACCGAATACACACTCTGGCAATGTGCATTCAAGCACCTAACACACAAATGAATGCATACGCTCTGCACATCACAAACACACACAAACAAACAAATGCACGAGCACATATACATCCACTTATTCACTGACACGCACACACACTGCAATTAATAGGGAGGCAGGTCTCTAGTGAGGAAGAGAAAGTGCCTGTTCAGCACATACAGGCAGAATATGCAATTTCCTCCAGTTAAGTCTGTATTAAATTGATTTCTTCTTTCTCTGACACGTACTGGGTTTTTCCCCCTAATGAAAGCTGGATAATCTACAGGTTTTCCCTTTCCTGAAATCAAGTTACAAATCAAACAACTGCAGGGGCAGATATGGGAAAGGTGAAGGAAGGACATGGGATGATTTTCCAGATGAGAAACCTGAGGGACATACGTGCTGATACTCTTAACACAGGCATCAGGGGCGCCACACACATGCACACGCACAGGGAGTAAAGGCCAGGCCTCGGTTAAGTACTTGCTGACATTTCCATTCAGTGACACAGTAAAGCTACAACAGGGCCATGTTAGTAAACACAGCATCGATGACTGTAATTAATGAAACACATTAATTAGTAAGCACTTCAATCAGTTAATCACTCGCTCAGAGCTGACAAGCAGCTGTGTAGAGGTGGAGTAAAACACAAAGAAGGAGGGAGCACTAAAGAGAACTAAACCAGCAGTATAGGAAGTATTTGTTTCCTTTCATTGAGCATCACAACACAAAATTACTCCATTTCAACTGTTCTATTAAAAAAAACAAGGTTTTTTTTTAAAGTATTAGGAGCAATGCCTACTTTAAATAAACAGAAAGCACTTGTTATGTAGACAAAGTGGCTGAGTTAGATAATTACATTTTATATAACAGGACTGTTAATACTGATGCATTAACATGTAAGCAGAATTTTAATGTTATAGCTGGTCAAGGTGAAGTGATTTTAAGTGCTTTATATACTGCTGTGTAATTTAATTTACTGTATAGCGATGAATTATATTTTATATGCTCATAAGTTTT